GCGGTGCCCGCCGGGGGGGCAAGGGCAAGGGCAAGGGCAAGGGCGGCACTGACGGCGGCGCCTGTTTGTTCGCAGCCATGATCGTGCGGTTCCTCACCAAGCGGTTCATCGGGGACTACGAGCCCAACACAGGTGAGAGCCGAGCGGGTCCGCGCCCCCCCCCGCCTTGTTTCACGCCGGTTTCCTCGGGGCCAGACGCCCACAGTTTCTTCTTATTCTGTCTTCTCCTTTCCCAGGGAGCCTGTACTCCAGGCTTGTTCACGTGGAGGGAGATGAAGTTTCCATCCAGATCCAGGACACCCCGGGGTGCCTTCAGGTAGGGGAACCCTTCCGGAGGGGCTCTGGTGGGCATCATCCCCCTGCAGCAGGGGAGCTGGGCAGGCGCTCGCCTCATCCTGCTGTTGCTGGGGCCGCGCTGCCCGCTGTCCGGTTCTCTGCCCTCTGCAAGCAGGCAGCCTTGGAGGCACAGCAGCAAATTAGCCCCTGGCTCAAAGGCATTAAGTTGCAAAGATGCTGCAGTAGCTGCTTAGAAAGCAGGGGTCTTGCTGACTTATGTCTCTTAAAAACCATGTGTCTTCCAAGAAGCACGTATTGCCGATGACTACACTAGCTCACAATGCCTAGGATGTGCCTGACTGTGTGTGGGTTGTGATTGATTGAAACCAATTGCTAAAGCTGGTCCCTTACTGCCGAATTATTTAGGACTTGGGAGGGAGCGTGTTTTGCGAGTTCTTGCACCTCCTTACTCTTCCTTTTTGAGGGCTGTCGGCACTTCATTGGCCCCAGAAGTTTGGCATCCTCTCATCTAAAAAGACTAAGTCAAATATACAAATACCAGGAAATGCAATGCAGCTGTCTTTCTTGAATCATCATTTAAAAAATGCCAAACAGTGAATAGCTGGGCTTAGTCTCTTAATTCTTAAAGTTAGACTTGGAAAACCTCACCTTATGTCTGATGTCCTGTTTCTCTGAGTTTGTTTTAAAGGTGGCATAACTTCTGTTCCATGTTTCCAGAGTCTAAGTAACGTCAGATCATTTCTCTGTAGGTGAAGGAAGACTTTGTGCAGGTATTGGACTCTTTTTCCAGATGTGTGAAGTGGGCAGAGGGCTTCCTCTTGGTTTATTCCATTACAGACTACAGTAGCTATCAGTCAATTCGTCCTCTTTATCAGCACATACGCAAGGTTCATCCGGACTCTAAGATCCCCATCATTATTGTAGGGAACAAAGCGGACCTCCTCCATGCCAGACAGGTACAGACAAATGATGCAATACAGCTGGCTAATGAACTGGGCAGTCTGTTTTTAGAAATCTCTACAAGTGAAAACTACCAAGGAGTCTGTGATGTATTTCAGTATCTTTGCAAGGAAGTTAGCAAACTGCACCAAACCAGCAGCAGAGACAAGAGGAGATCATCCATCATCACTCGACCTAAATCTCCAAACATGCAAGACCTCAAAAGACGTTTCAAACAAGCTTTATCTTCCAAAGTCAAGTAAAGCCCAACACTCAGATCATGTGCATCTAAATAGACTTTATTTTTATAAACTGAGAGCTTATAAGAAAGTCTTTATTTTTGTACTGCTGTCAGTGATGTGTATGTAGATTTGTTGGGAATACACAATTTTCCTGCGTCTCTTCTTTTGTTTAAAAAAAAATAAAATAAAAAAAAATCCCATACTGCAACTAACTTGACAGTAGTAGTGGTTTGAGAAAGGGATTTAGGCCAGATGCCCTGGTTGTCTTTCTGTTTTTGGGCAGTGACTTGCTATTCAACTGTGGTCAAGTTACTTTGTCTTTGTGCCTCTATTTCCCCATCTGTAAAATGGGGATAATAAATGTAATATATTCCTACCTTTTGTAAAATACTAGGTGATCTTTGGATCAAAGCTTTATATAAGTGGAACGTATTATTAAAAGAGAAATGATAACTGGCTGTAAAAGTCCTCTTTTAGCAAGAAATGAAATTAGTCTGCTTTCCTCAGCATACTTGGGTTTTGACTGTTTCCACCGATGTCTGTAAGCAAAGGCAAGGCAAGAGACTTGCATGGAACAACTCTCTGTAGTCTAAACCAGTAGTGTTCAACTGCTGGTGTGGAGATGACACAGTACCACACAAAGCTTTCTACTGGTCTAGAAATTTGGTGCTGGGGTGTGGTAGCAATTAATGCTATTGCCAAATTTCAGAGTCCTGCAGGCCAGGCACTGTGGCCCTGCGCACAGGGGTACAGCTGTAGGCATGATCTGGCATGAGGCCTAACCTGACGTGGTGCTGGGGCCCATTCTAGTGTGTGGGGCTAGGGCCATGTGCTGGATCAGGCCCACAGACTAGATCTGGCCTATAGACTGACCCCCCACACCACTCAGTTCACAGGGCTGAAAGGCTGTTAGGCCCTAAACTGTATGCTATTCTGGAGTGGTTTTAATAGTTGCTCAATAGAGGTCCTATGACATGAATTTATTGCTAATTGGCCTGAGAAATTAATGACCCCATCTCTGAAGTAAACATGACATTTTTGTTGAGCTGCAGGGGCTTATTTTGTTTACAAATTATTTATTAACAAATCCAACTTATCAAATAACCAATTTAACATTTCAAGTTGCACCCAATCCCTTAAAATTCTAATATTATAAAAGCCTTAAGTCGGTCTGTCTGTCCCTAATACTTTATTCTCACTCTGATTGGTTGTCTTGGCAGCCAATCACGATGCTTACTGAAATAACCAATCAGAGTGCTGTGCACAGACAGAAGCACAGTCATGACAGAGGGGACTGAGGGGCTGGAGCAGTCCCCCTTCCCCCCTGCTGTGGCCCTGGTCCTTGGAGGCAGAGGGGGGCGGCAGGTTTGGCACTGCCATGGTGGCACCATTTCTACTGTCCCCCCTTGCCTCCAAGGACTAGGGCCACAGCGGTGTGGGGCACGAGCCCAGTGCCACTGGCCTCACTACCCCGCTCCAGCCCCTCAGTCCCTGCTCTCATGGCAGAGTTGACCTTGCCTCCCTGCCCTGCTCCTTGGAGGCAGAGAGGGACAGAGGTAGTGGGGAAACAGGCCCGGACCTAACACGGCAGAGGAGGAGTGGGGAGTGGGGGGGGAATCGGGCCGGACAAGAAGCAGGGCCAGGGCTGCACACGGGGTTCCATCCCCCCCTCCCCGCCCCCCAGCCCCGATGACCGGAACTGAGGGGCCGGAGAGGGTGGGCGAAAGGGGGGCACAGGGCCAGAGGCAAAGTGGCAGCACCGCAGGGCATTGGGTGGTGCTGCTCCATCCCCGCCGACCCCCCGACCCCCTCCGTCATTCTTGATAAGCAATTGGTTAGTATACATAATACCATTTATCTATTGTCCATCAGCAGTGTTCCCTTAAGTCATAGGTGCCAAGTATATGGGGGCCCAAGGTCCTTGGCCCCCTTGGGAAGAGGGTAGGGTAACCACCAGGCTCTAATTGGGCAGGGCAGTCCTGAAATGGGAACATCAAGTCCTGGGCATAGGCTGCGTGACTCCAGGGCAGCATTTGTCCTGGAATCACAGTATCGTGCAGGGATCTGGGTTTTCCATTCACTGTGTAAATAAATGTGGTAAACAGTAGGTTTCCCCTTGCAGGCTGGCAGAGTTCTGGCCTACAAGGGGCTGCAGGAACTGGGATACAGGGAGCAGGGGGTGCCACATGCATGTGTGTGTGTGCACACATTCTTGTGGCCAGTAATACAGCCCCAGGCAGAGGTGGAGAGTAGCTCCCCCAGCTGCCTGCAGGTAAGTCTATGGGGGGAGGGGGCATAGATTGAAGTCTACATGGTGAGGTAGTGAGGCAGGGGCTGAGCCTGGGGAGGCGCTGCCCAGCCAGGGAAGTACGTGGGGCTTAGAGCAGGGAGGGGGACAGAGCCACAGGCTTTTCCGGCGGGGCACAGCTCCCTGCTGCTCCTCACATTCCTGGGGAGGGGAGCATGCCCCCCAGATTTGTGTGTGGGGAAAGGGAGAATGCAGGCTGCCTGCTGCAGCCTTGAGGCTTCCTACTCTGCTGTCCTCCCCGCAGGAGCCCTATGCTGACTGTGCCTACATGGCAAGGCACCCCCTGCCTAACCCCGCTGCTGCTAGGTGGGAAGGGGGTGCCTTGCCATGGCAGCATGGTCCGCAAGGGCAGCCTCCCATCTCCCCTTCCTGGCAAAATAAAAGTTGTTGCCTATGACCCAAGTCAATGTCCACAGAGGATTCTTGTGTTTTCTTTTCCATTTAGTCTCTAGTAGTTCCTTTATGGTTTGCTGGATGTTAAGTGTTTGTGTTTCTTCATCACTTTCTGTAACCTTTTTAATAATTTACCCCCCTTTTTTTCTAAATGACAGTTTTGTTTTCTCTGAAGAGAGAGAACTTGGACGTGCTGTTATTTATAAGAGTCTTATCTGGTAAAACTATGTCCAGAGACTTCTACAGAACTGCCTGTCTTCCCCTTGCTGTTATTAATTACTGATCTTTTGCCTTCCAGGCCTAGCCTTCCCTTCTGCAGCAATGGTATCCTAATCTTTTGCCTATGTGGCCATTTCTACAGTATTTGACTTCTCACATTTTCAGCAGAACGGCGCACCTATCACCTTTTGATTTGTTCATGGACATCTTATTGACATCAGTGAGAATCTTTGTGTAGAGTGAAGGCAGCAGGTAGCCCTGCAACTTTATGGCAGTATCAAGTAAGAGATATTCAATGAGAAACCACCATTTGAAAATCACAAAAACAAGTAGTTTTACTCAGGGCTAAGTTCAGCACATAAGCAGCCCATGTAAGCCTGTTGGTCCTTCAGCAGGGCTGCCCAGGTAAATGAATCAAGTCAGACTGTTCTTAATGGTCCTTTCCTCTTTCCTTCAAAGACACTGGGAAAGCTTCCACTGAGTTAAGAAAAAGAATCAAGCCCAGTAGCAACCTAGCCCCCCACCATGCTACCATGAAAGCAACCTCTGGGACTAGCTACTGGGGTCAAATACCTCTGGTTAATTAACACCTGTGAAGAGGCACTATGAACAACTTGCTAAAACTGAAGTGAGATACATGTGAAGAATTCCCTCATAACAGGAAGCCCACACTGAGGTACAGAATAGTATTGTCTATGGCAGGAGTTTTCAACCTTTTTTAATAAGTGTACCCCTTCTGTCTCAAAGTTTCATCTCATGTCCCCTTTTATATTTTTTCTTGTTTTTAAGCGGGAAGGGCAGATCAAGGCCCCCGTGGTGAGGGAGGGCGTGGGCCTGGGGCTGGGGCAGGGCAGGCACTGTACAGCTGGGGTGGGACATGGAAACAGAGCCACGAGCAGCTTGTCCAGGGAGCATGGGGGAGGGAGGGGCAGCTCCCACCAGTGCACGCACCCTGAGAGGTCATGTGGGATGTGTGCCCCCAGATCTGTGTGCAGGGCAGGGCGGGCTGCCGCTGTGGGCTGGGGCAGTGCTGGGGTGCCCCCCAGACAAGCTGCTCGCAACTCTATCCTATGCTCCAAACTGGCTCCAAACTGGCTGTGCAGTGCCTGCCCCTGCCCCTGCCCCAGCCTGAGCCCCGCTCCCTCCCTCACAGTGGGGGTTTACAGGAGTGGGACCATGGGAGGGGTTGCAGCCACTCCAGAATTTGCCATAGCCCCCCAACCTCCCTCCCAGTGCTGCTGCCCGCCCTGAACACAGCATGGCCCAGCCCCTGCCCGGGAACAGCCCAGTGCAGCCCCAGCTCCAGCCCACAATGGCAGCCCACCCTGCCCCATGCGCATATCTGGGGGCACATGCCCTCCATGCCCTCCTGAGGGTGCGCATAGTGGCGGTGCTGGGAGGAGGAGCTGAACAGGGGTGCGAGCCTCACACATGGTGGCTGCCGACACCCACATCCGCCACCTCCCACCGCTGCACCCTTCACCACTTTTCCATGGCTGGTTGCACGTGCGGCTCTGCAGGGCCTTGCACCTTGACAATTGCGCGCTGCCAGGGGTGGGCACAGAATGTACTTCCTTCCCCCACACTGCCATTCAGACTATCACAGCTCTGTGGGAATAGGGTGGCTGCAGCACCTCCTCGCCATCAGCTATTGGCTGAGGGCGGTGGCCTGATGGCCAGTCAAGAAAGCGAGCTGGGGTTGAGGGCGGGGAGGCACCGCAATGTGCCATGTGTGACCAGTGGCACCTGGCGCTCCCTCCCCCCTCCCCCAGCTAAATGGCAGTGTGTGGGATCACGCCAGGGCAGACACCACTGCCGTGCCCTAAGGCATGCTCCTCCCTGCCCACCTGCCCATGCATGCCCCCTATAACCTTTCTAAGTACCTCTAGGGGTACACATACCCCCGGGTGACAACCCCTGGTCTATGGTATGTGTGAATTATTTTAATGTAGTGAAAGTCAGAAACTGCCAATATATTTCAAAAGGCAAAGATGATAGTAATGTGAATGCTTTTTAAAGACCTTTGACTTTGTTTATAGAAAATACTTTTAATTATTTTGGCAAAATAAAACAGAACAACACTGTTGTATTCTGTCACAACCCAAAGTTGTGATTTTTTGTTTGTGTGTGCTTCGGCACTGCTAAATTATTTTCCCGCTAAATTGCAGCTTCTTTGCACAGTGGAGTTTTCTGCTGCAGAGGAGAACCCCAGTGCAACGGAGTATTCCCGCCAAATTTGTAGCTTTCTTTGCATGGTGCATTTCTTTTGCATCCAGGAAATGCACGGTGCAAAGGAGTTCCCGCCATTTGTATGAA